AAGGCTCCCAGCTGGGATCTTGGCCCCTTCCAGCATCAGTGTCCCATGAAAGCCAAAGAGTGAAGAAATGCCAGCAGTCTTCTAGATCCAGTGACTTTCTTGTGTTGGATACATGTAAACGACCTTTTAGGTTTGGAGGATTTTTCCTTTTTTTTTCTTTTTTTTTCTTTTTTTTCCTTTTTTTTCTTTTTTTTTGGTCTGTTTTTCTTTGGGTTTTTTTTTTTTTTAGTTTTGTTTTAATTTGGTTTTGTTTTAGTTTTGTTTTTTTATCTTTTTTTTCCGATTTACTATCTGCTCCTATGAGAACATTTACGTCTTTTGTTACTGTGAAAAACAGACTTGTGGCTTAACTTAGACTAAATTTCTGTGAAAGTTTTTGGCTAAAGTATCTCTGGAAGAAATTATTCAACGAACAGCAAAATATAACAACTAGTTACACTGAATTTACTCAAGAGTTAGAGACACAAGAGGCTTGAAATAGCCATCCTTCACCCCCAAAATAATTTTTTATATTTAAAGAAAATTGTGTGTTTATACATTTTTCTTTCAAAATTGTCATTTAGAAAATTTTGTAAAAAAAATAATTATTATTTTTAAGCTATAAATAACCCAGATAAGCAAAAAACCCCTAAATATATAAGCAAGTCATTTTGCAAGTAATCGGCCCAAAAGAAATTTAGTTTACCTTAAAAATGTTTCCTTTGCACGCTAAACCCAAAATTATTTTTTCTTTACTTTCCAGCAAAACAAAAGATTCACTATTTACACAGCTGTTTTCCTGACACATATGCCCCATCTCAGGGCTACGTTTCTTATTCCTGGCTGGGTTTCCCAAGAACATTCCACTAGTTAATAGCAGTAACATGGGTCAATTCAGGCTTGAGGTAGGTAGGTGGTGTTTAGTGGATTTTTGCCCACTGTTATTCAGATTGAATAGATTCCATTTTATTATTTTATCAGTTTCTCAGAAGTGGGATAACATTTTGTGCTGCAGTCTGTTCTTTGATTTGGATGGAAGGTTCAAGATTATAATAAAGATTATAATATATTAAAATACATATGCAAGTTTTGTCCTTTAGAAGGTTTTCTTCTCTTTCTTGTCATTCTCTTTATATTTTTTTAGGAACATTCTCACAAAAGTATTTTTTGTGGCCTAGTCTATCTTACTGGCATTTCACATTATTATTTTTAGTTATCTACTGCATGCATCAAGCTTTTGGGTTGCTCTAAACTTTGCCCATAAAGGATGACTACTGTATTCTGGGGTAAGATACTTCAAATTAGTTTTCCCAGTTTTGGAATTTACTTCTGCTGAGGCTGTGGGGTTGGCATGTTTCACTAGGGTTTAATCTTAAATGAAAATTAGAGACTAAACATTTTCTTTAGCATTTAATCAATTTGACACCAAAAGTTCTTCCTCTTTACACCTTCAGAGCTTATCTGAAATTTATTGCTTTGTCTCTTTTGTACCTTCCCATTTTAAGTTCTCTGAACACTAAGCTTATACTCCAGTCATTCTCACCTTTCACTCACCTTCTCTCACTTTATTTCACTATTTTCTTTTTATTCATCCACCAGACATAATTCTCTGTCACCATTTGCATTTCCTGTCTCACTGAATGCTTTTCCTAGTTTGAACTTTTGTACTAATTTCTGATATGTTCCCTGTCTGTCGCTATCTCTGGATCAATGCTCTGTGGAGTTTTCTTGGCTCTATTTTTCTATTTTTCTGCTCATCCTCACACTGATGTACTCTTCAATATATTTTCTCCTTATTTTATTTTCTCCAAATCCTTTATGTAGAAATTGTATAGAATGCTTCCCTCCTAATATCTCCAGATAGATATCTACTAACATCATCCCCACTTCCTCCAAAGCCCAGAACTACCCTTTGCATAATCAATTTGAGTAACCACAGCAACGAGATCCTTGCCTGCCTTTGCTCACTCTGGTGTGATACTCGTCATCTTAGTCCTTTCTTTCCCAAAACTATTTTATTGAGTTTGTAGATATGATCAGGACAGCGGGCTCCAAAGTACTGAAAAGACATTTTTGATAATATCTACAGCTTAGCTTTAAGGCGTCCTTCCTGTGCCTCATCAAAAATCTTGCTCTCCTTTGCTTTTTTAAGGGGATCATGCCTCACAAATGGATCACCGCTCCCAGTCAGTGTTTACACCCCTCGTGCTTGGCCAGGCTGATCCCTGAGTTTCTGACCAGAGGATTTTTACATACTGGGTGGAACAGGAACCAAGAATTAGTCTGAGAACTCACAACAAAATTAGCAAAATAATTAAGTAGCTTAACTATAACTTAGTCATTGCTAACAATAAGTTTTTATTTACAAAGTAACCCAAAAGTAGAGGAATTTCCTGTTATCACCTAAAAAAGCAGAAAGGAAAAGATATCACCACACTATATCTTCTAGCTGTTCAGACATGGAAGGAGATCTTCACATGACATTTAGAACAAATATGATATTTGTTTTTCCAAAATAGGCCATGGAATTCTGCAGCCCATTCCTCAGGCACATCTTGCTGAGAGTGCCTGAGCTGCAGGATACCACTCAGAAGGTGACCTCCCTGTGAAACTGTATCCAAATGAATACAAAGAGTATTTGTTTATTAAAATATGTTGTAGCAGTTTTCAAAAAGTGACCTAGGGAGAATTACAGTGGTGGAAAAAAGATCGATTTTAGTTACTGCTCTGTTTGGTATATTATGCATCAACCTAGGGCTTCTTTTGCCAAGGCTTTTAAATTGTTTTAGAGAAAAATGGAATGAATAAAATAATATATATTACCTCTACGGAACCATTTCTTCCTCTCAGTTATACCAGCATAAATTCAGAGTAAATCCAATGAAATCAGTGGTTTTACAATAGTGCAAAAGCGAACAAACCAAGCTCTGAAGCTTTTCATGTTTCATTTGCCAAGTGTTTTCGTGTTGCTGGCAACTGGGCAGTGACAGGATGTACAGGTTTCATGAGCCCTCTGGCAGGCACCAAAGAAGCCCTATCATACCCCATGACAATGCAGCCATTTGCAAGTGCTTCCAGAACTGTATTCCCAGCCAGAAGCACAGCAGTTCCTCTCACTGGTTTGTTGTACTCACATGGATACTGGTTGAATTGTATGGAAAAATGCATGCTGAATGCTTCCTTGAGGTGGTAGTTACATTTTTTTTACTAGCCCCCAAATATAAAGGAAGAACATTAAACAGAAACTACAAATAACTGTTGCCTACTCTTCCTCCTTCCTTGAAACTTGGGCTCAAACTCCACAGACTTCCAGAGTACCCAGGATCATGGTTCCTTTAATCAGTCAGAACAAATAATCTCCTTTTGGAGATAATCTTTCAACTAGTCTGCTCCTCCAGCCCCAGTGGGAAGCCAGCACATTGGTAGAGCTGCCTGGAAGCTTCCATGAAAGTATAGCAGCTGTATTGGGTTTGCATAGAAAGGCTTTGGTAGCAGGGTGAGCCTATGGGTTCTGTGAGAAGTTGCCAGAAGCTTCTCCCATTGTTGGTGCCCAAGAAACTCTGCCAGCTGGTTACTCAAGAAATGAAAAGAAAATTGTGGTCCAACAAGGCAGACTAGGACAAAGAGTCCTAAAGTAGCTCTCATAGCAGGGAAACAGAATTCTTCAGTGCAGCCTCAGCTGTCTTCAAGGCTCATCTCCTCTGCCAGTGGTGACTGAAGTTGGTCAACACAGCTCAGAAGTTACTGAAGGGAATATCAGCAATTTGCTTACCTACAGTTGTATAAAACCTTAGACCACCTAAATGCTGAGCCACTTGTAGTAAGTAAGAACTTTTCTGTTATTGAGACAATAAAGCACAATGGTCTCCATCACATCAAAGAAAGTTTCCAGTTCCATTGTTCATCCCTGTTTTGGGCACCTTGGACATGCTCCTTCTCCACTTATCACACCATCTCTTTCCCCAAGTGGAGTGAGACTGTGAATGCAGACAAAGTCTGAAAGAAAGGGCATTTTTACCATTACCTCTTGTTAGTATATCTGGGCATCAGCCTATCACCTGCTGTTAGTGTAGTGAAACACAGAATAAAGCTTCATTTCTGTAAAAGATATTGGTAGCAAAATTGGACAGAAGAGTGTCAGACTGCAGTTTTTCCATTCTTTCACGCAAAATGTGAAATAGCATGTTAACTGCCTTCTGGCCATACAGAGCTTCCATTAAAATAATTACCATATGGCTCTTTTGGGGACAGGGTAACTTTCCTGTTATTCCACAATCCTTTCAGACGAACAGTTTCACAATGGACCCTACAGGACCTTGAAAGGATTTTATCAGGTTACTGGATTAGGGCTTTGATAGAGATTCTGAGGAAAAAGCAGGTGGAAATAACAGCTCACAGAGTGGCTCTGCAGAGTGATTACTGGGCTATATTCTCTGTTCAAATGGGAAAAGGAAATCCCTTGAAATAAAAAGTCTGGCTGCTGCTGATTAGCTGACAAGAATGAAATTGAATACTACGCACATAAAACTCTGTATGTGCAACCAACAGATCCATCATGTCAGCAATTCATTTTCTTATGGTAGCATGGGCTTGGAGAGAAATCCATTAAGGCCAAAATAAATTAATAGCACAGAAGAGAAGTATCCCATGCCTTGCCTGATTTTCTATACACATGGCTTACTAGTCTAGTTTGATGTTGTTATTTTCTTATATTTATCCTTTTCTCATTCAGTAACTTTATTGCACTGTATAGTCAGGGACCCAAATATTTTTTTTCTGTTATCAGCTATATATAGCTTCCATTAGTTTCTCCAGCTTCGGGAATAACGTAGTAAGAATATTCGGTATATCTATAGATACCTCTAAATCTTTGGGTGTTTCTGGTTGTACCTGCAGCTTATAACAAGGACTAAGGGCAGGAAAGATTGAGGGTGAAATCTAATTAACAGTAATCTAAAACATCATTACATTGGTAATTTTTTCTTTTTTTGAACAGCCTATATCATTGTCTTTCTCTGCAGTTTTTCTCCTTGCAGATTCGTTGAAATGCATAATCTGTCCGAGGACTCCAGTTGTGGTGGTGACGGTATGTTAGGTGGCAAGTCCCATGAAGCATGCTAATATGCGCTAATCTTTTAATGATGATGAATATTTGACTCTTTGTAATGGGGATATTTTTTTAAGGAGGCTTTCCATAAAAAAAAAAAAAAATCACAATGGTTGTCACAAGTAAGCTTCCCTCCCCTTTGAAAGAACTGACTGTAGTGGAAAAGATAATTACTTAGTTCCTTTATCTCCGAATTATTTGTAATAAAACCTGAAATCGCACCACAAGGTCTTTCATGAGGATGTCATAAATTAAGATGCATCGATGTATTTGGTGCATCTGTTCAGCTCTGCGCTCCTTTGTCTTCTGCAAATAGCGCAGCAGCTTCAATACCCAGCAGACAGCATTTACGCAAATGATGTCGTGGTCTGTATCATTAATATTCAGCGATTGTCTGTCATAGACACCTTACTGTACATCTGTTATGCAAATTTATGTTAATTTTTGCTCACTGACAGCTGCCTTGGTTCCCTCCCTAAAATGATCTTTTCCATTTTGAAGTTTGCAATCTGTTCCCAAAAATGTTAATCTAACAATTAACTGAAATTGCTAAACAGAAATTTTACATGTTATGTCCAAAATAGAAACCAGTGTTTTTAAATAGATGGTGAATCTTCTCTTCACATCATTTGTTTTATATGTGATTCAGAGAAGGGTAAACATTGATCTTTGCACAGTCTGTGTTGGGATAAGTGACAATCTCCCTATACAGTAATAGGTTTTGTAGGAAATGGTGCCATCATCTTTTCACATAGGCTATTGGCATAAAACTGACTTTCCCATTAAAAGCTGCTCTTTGTACAATTGTTTTCTACTTAGACTTTTGAAAATGGAAAGGTCACTCTTTATTAACATATTATTCATTTAAACCTTTTATTTTAAATAATATTACAGCACTTCAAATAGAAGCAGAAAGCATTTAAAAAATGTTTCAGAGAAGTTACATCATGTCAATGTAATATATCAGGAAAAGTGAGATTTGGTCTTGTAAGTTAGATTCAGGCTGCTGGGGAAAATGCTTTGACCCAGTGTGCCCACAGCAAGAACCAGACAAGTTACATCAGGTATCCCAATACAGAACCAGCGAACATCTGGACAGCTGGTGTTCAGGGAGGGTTTCAGTCTGTTTGACAGGAGGGAAGGTGCACAAGAAAAGCCTCGGCATAGAAATGGCCTCCACCTTAAACCAAAGTGCAAGCAGATTGCTGGCACAGTCTCTCCAAGTTCTCAGACTTCCCTTTAGTATGGAACAAGAGAAATATTGACAAGAACCAGGGAGAGCTTTGCTCAGGCAAATATCTGCAAGGGCAGTCAGAAATGCAAGGGCAGCTGGGGTGAAATGGAGAGGGACAGGTTATAGCCACTGTTTGGAAAGGGATTTAAATAGGAGCAGGCACATTGGCTGTGCTGGGAAAGAAGTGTCCATATGCAGAGGACAACAGCTTTAAAGCAGAAGCTGCTTTACTGCATTGCCTGACATTGCAATAAGGTCATGATGAAATAGATTTTTCAGAAACCTATAACCAAATCAGAATTTTACATAATAACACAGAACCTGACTGTAAAACATAAAGACAGGCTGAAATAAGTTGAGTTTAGATATTAGGAACAGCATTACAGTGCACCAAAAATTCAATATCAGTCTTCACCACAGCAAATACAGCCAAAGTACCTATCCAAGCTCTATCCTTATCAGGAAATAAAGAGCACACTATGTCAGGCTGATCTGTCAAAATAAGAAGAGTAGGAAAATTAAACTGATAAATTAAAGAGCAGCATGTCACCTGACTGATGGCAGCCCTCCAGGAGATCTCTTAGAAGCATAGCTGCTGTTTCTAACAAAGAATACAGAATAGCTCATTAAAAAACACGGAATGGCAGGGTAGCAAACATTGCTCTTTCCTTCCAAAAAGGGAAACCAGGGAATTCTCAGAGTTACAGGCTATGAATACTCAGAAAAGTTTTTGGAACAATAATTAAGACAAAAGTAGAAAATCACCAAAATAAGAATGCTATGAGCCCACGCTGACAGAGCTTCTACTAAGGACAATTGTACTTCTCTAGTCTATTGTAATGCATCAAGAGTATTAAACAATGGATGATGAAGACCATTTCATAAATAAGTTCACTTGAAAGACAGTGTGTTTAATTGGAAAAGTATTTCCCCAGGAACCAATTAGGAAAACAAAGTAATCATGAAAGAAAACTGAATTCTCTGCTGTAAGTTCAGAAAGTGATTGACAAAACTGCAGCAGATAGAATATGTAGCTTACTGCCAAATTAGAAACTTATAGTGAAAAATGCTGATCTATTTTGGAAACTGCAGTTAATATGTTTGTTTGGAAAAGAGCTAAATAGACATAGCAGTATTTGCAGGTGGTAACACTTTGTCCAGATGTCCAGACAAAGAAACTGCTTCACAGACTTAAGAAGAACTTTAAAATACAATTGATTACAAGGCAGCACTTAAAAATAGATTCATAGTCAAGTACAAGATAAATTTAGGGACATAGGACACCTGACTACATTTCAAGAAATTACCTGAGGCATCAGATTCTACCATTTTACTATTACAGGCAATCACGCCATATAACTTTCCATTAAAGGTTTAAAAAGTTCCAGAAATTTTTTTCCAATCAGAGTGGTCATTCACATTTTTTTGATAAACAGTCGTCTCAGAGCAAAGTTGGAATTATTTCAACACTCAAGTGTATGACAGAAGTTTCAGCTAAACAGAAAGACTCATAAAAATTAGAACTGATTGACTCTTCATCTGCCTCTTCACAAAGCATTTTACAGTTAAAGTAGAACTTGCAATTTAGTTCCAATAACATTATACTATCCCAAAACAAGCAGAAAAAAACCACAGTAGAGAATTTTTTCATGTTAACTGGCATTGCTGGAGATGAGCCATTGCAGTAATTTCTTTTTTTTTTTTAGGCACCAGCAGAGAATGGAAGGACACCTCTTGTGACATGTTCATACTGTCTCCTGTGTGTGTGCATTTCAGCACTTCAGCCTTTATAAATAGTTTTCCTGCTTAATTACAACATCCTGAAACACCTTTCTGTGGATGTTTTGGGGGTTTTAATGACAGTAAATTGGCAGGGGACACAGGAGTTGTTACCAAAAGTTGTCTGTCTAGCATCACCTGCAGTGTTGGACGAGTGGGATGGCAGCAGGAGAATGTGAAGGCACAAAGCTATTAAGAGCAGTGAACCAGTCCAAGTTTCCTGCATCCACCTGGCACTCCAGCAAGCACATCTCTGCCTGCTGGATGCTTTTCATCAGTCCCAAAGCTCAGGGCTCTGCTGCGGCACTGTTAGCTTAGTTCTGAAGTCATTTCAAACATGCAGAGTCCAGGTCTTAAATTGAGGTTCACAGAAAGATGTAGTTTTCATTGTTTGAAATAGTTCAGTCACAGAAATTGGAAGAACAAGATGCCAAAGAACAGCAGAGTTTAAATCAGGTATCTCTTTGGTGACTGAGGTCTTCCATAACTGATTTTTTCCCCTTGATTATATTAAGATTATAAGATGCCCTTTTTATTATTTTTTAAACATATTGGCATTTTACTGTCAAATATCTGAATCATTTGTAAGGAAAAGGAATTTGATGAACTGCTTCATTTAATGTCCTTAAAACCTTGACAGTATTTTTGTACTAAGTAAACCTCAAGTTGCTGACTATAGCCTCAGCAGAAGCTGAGGGACTATGCCAGGAATTTCCACATATGGAAATGAGTTAAGACAAAGACAATTGTCATTTTGATTTTCTTTCTACCCATTTTTGGAGTAGAAACAAACATTTCAATGTTTCCTGATTAAAAAACCAAGATACCAGAAAGTTATGATAGTCTGATTAGGGTATTTCTTTTCCAGAACACAAACACTGTATCCTAATTTTCAAGTTTCTAAACATCTTTAATACAAAGAAAAAATAAATTTAATCAGAAATGGCCCCATTAGAAAAAACAAACACCAAATCAAAACATTGTTCCAAAATTGGTGAAGCACTTTAATTTTATATTAAATGTGTTTAATGATTTTTTTAATTTCATTTTTCATGTTTTCAAATTGTGTTTCATAGTCTGATTAAAAAAAAGTCTTAACAAACCATATTTCATTTGGAGTGATGGAAGAGAATTTCAGAGGAACTTTTGACAGAAGTTTCCTGAATAGCTCTTTCCTCTGGCCTGAGATGATGTGCAAGAAATTGAAGTTTGAGCTGCCTGTAACCAAAATTCTGAATCTGACTGAACAGCAAGAAGTCACACCCTATACCCAGCCCTTCCACGTGCTTTGTGTGAAAAAACAACCAAAGAGAGAAAAACTTAATAGTGCAGAAGCTTTCCTGGCCCCACGCCTTAGAGAAATGTGGCAAAGCCAACCCCAAAAGTGCAGAGATGAGCTGCAACTCCTGGAAAAACCCCACAGCTGTGGTTGCTGTTCGCAGCTTGCCCCTTCTGTGTCTGGGGGGCTGCAGTTCACCCTGTCCCCTGGCATCTCTCTCTGCTGACCAGGTGTAATCCAGGCTGGCACTGCACAGCAGCTCCTGGAGATGGTATCTGCAGCCACAAGGTCAAAAGGGTTTTGTTTGTTTTAGGAATGCTGCTGAACCAGACAAAACCACTGTTATTTTCACTTTAACTGTTCTTTATCTGGACATCTACCTCCCCAAGACAGAATGCACATCTAGAAGACAAACTTAATTAGATTTCTTATTTCTGACAGCTGCTAGCGTGATAATAATATTCTTTTCTCCCTACATAGGTCACAGAAAAAAAGATTGGAAGTACCTGAAAATATTGGAAGATTTCTAAAATATACACAAAAGCAGAGCTGAGACCCACCGCTGAAGAGTTGCATTCCTTTATGGGACTGACTTTCATCAGTCATTTTATTGATCAGTGTAGAAAAATGTAAGTTAATGCACATGGAGAAAACCCTGGCCAAACACATATGAAATCCGATCCAGCACCACTTCTCTGACTGATGCTAATTAGTAATAGGACCATGGGGTTATAATAGGTAATTTCATGGATCTATCACCTCACTGATTAATAACAATCAAGCAAGTCATCTAAATAGCAGGACTCATTAGGAGTGGAGTACAAAACAAGGAGAGTATATACAAAATCTTGCTGAATAAATCTGTGGTTTGTCCACATCTCAGGTATTATGATTTGTACTTGCTCCCTGTTCTTAAAAAGTAGGAAAAAAACCAACCAATGCAAGAAATATTCCAAGAAGAATGGAATGTAAAACCACTTCTGTATAAGGAGTATCTAAATAGACTAAGGGTCTTCAGCCTGTAGAATAAAAAAGTGTGTACAGTCATTATTGGCGTTTGGGAAGAGTTGTTTCCTCTTTATTCCACTGCAAATGTTCAGGAGCAAAGAGAAGCTGCACTTACTACAAATGAGGTAGATCTTCATTCACTGGGTGCTGAATTGTGGAGTCCTCAGAGAAGCTACATCTGCTTCAGAAAACCTCCAATCTAGCAGCTCCTGGAAACTGTGGATAGGAAGGCAGGACCATGTAGGTCTATATATGCTGTTCTCTAGATAATCCATTTGTCTCAAGTGTAGAACAAGGAAGTTTGGCAAGTGAAAGTTTAGAGACTCAGGCATTTTCATCAGATAAATTAAAGATATCCATGCTATCCACAAGAGAAATGAATAAGTGTGTGATTTAGCAAAAACCCCAATCACTAAGTATTTTGAATTTTCAGCCCTCAGGAGACCACAAAACGTTCTTAAATACAACCAGGCCCACTTCCCTTCAGATACAGGACTATTTGTTCCCAATGTGACAACACAGCTCTTCATTTTATGCTGCTCAGCAAGTCCCAGCACTGAACGAGCCCCCAGTGTGCCTTCACTCTCACTTCAATAGCTGCAGCTATGTTCTGTGGCCCACCAAAGGCTGACAAGCATCATGCCAAAAAAGCCCCTGACTCCTTCCCAACTCTTCAAAATTCCACTCACAGATGAAAAACCTTTAGCCTACAGTATTACCACATAAGCCATTCCACCTGAGAAAAACTCCCACCAGCTATGGAGCTGTTGAGAACTCCTCCCAGCTCTTGCAGTGCCTCTGCTTCCTATGCCATTTTTGTCACTTTCAAAAACAAGTGTTTATCCAAATGTGACCAGCTATGGGAAAATCAAACTCACATGTTTCAAAAATGATTTACCAACTCAGTAGCTAGAGTTATAACAGAAAAATATGCATGGAGATTTGTCATGAATAAATACAGGAGATTTTTGATCACTAGATTGTGTTAACCTCTTCCTTTCAGTCCCACTGATTCTAAATCCAATTAAATAATTGCCTCTTCCTTGTATCTAGATAAAAATTTTGTGAGTCTAACAACTGTCAATGACTTGTGAACTGCTGCTATTTGTATTTCATTGTTTTGCTCCTTTAAAAATTACATAGTGATAAAGAGGAACAAAAACAAAATAAAATTTGAATGATTAATTAATTAATATGTAGAGACAGCTTAAATTCATGAATGTGTATGTGCTGGCACTTTCTGAGGTCTTAGTGAAAATGACACTCTCAGAAGTAATATCAAGGGGAAAATGATGCAAAATGACTTCATAGCTGGGATCAAGTTATAAATATCTGTAGAGGATATATAACAAATGCTGAACCTTCTGTGACTGTAGCTGCAAATAATTGTGATGATTCATGGAAAAGGATACTTTCACTATCAGAAAAATGCTGCTTTAGAAGGTCTTTTTGAATGTGTTTTTTTTTGTTTTTTTTTAAATACATATGTACATGTATGGGCTTAAAACAGTATCTCCCTAGACTCTTTGGAAAAACTTTCATTAATCTGCACAGAAGAAAAAGTCAAGATCATAGTTGAGTAGGAATAAATGACATTTTGATCTCAGTAATATGAGGACATACAAAATACAAACTGAAATAATTCAGTTGTGTGCTAGTGTGTGTAAGTTTGAATTTTGCCCAGAAGTTAAATTTAAGTTCTTCTCAAATGCCAAATATTATTTGGCAAGAAAGAGAAGTGCCAATGCAAAGAAAAAATAAACCCAGAAAAGCTTTTAAGATTAATTCTTTAAGCAGGTCTGCAGGTTAGAAAAAATCACAAAGGAATTCCCCCTGAGAAAAGATATATTCAACCCATTACCTGCCTGGGTTTCTAAGTTCACACCTCTTTGCTCTTGATTTTCCATTAACTCTAGTAAATGTGGTTATTTGTAGCCAGGCAGGGAAAAATATGAATTTAAGCAAAAAGAATGCCTCTGAACAGCCAGTTTGTGGTATTTTAAGCTCATTCTGATATTTATACCAAGATGTGGATCCTGGGAGCTGTGCTCAGAGCTTTGGAAAGGGAACCCTTTGGCAATCTTTACCTTTGTGAGGAGCACAGCACTGTCAAGCCATGTGCATATTCCTCGAGCACTTAAATTTTCATAAAATTCATCAAACCTCCAGCTGAAGGTAAAATGACTGAATCCAAGGTTTAATGTAGATGTCTTGCACATTTCCATCACATCATATTTACACTGAAAAGGTCACAAGATGAACTTTGTAAAACACAGCAGATCCAGTGTGGTGACTCATCATAGCATTGGCTAATCATTTTTGCGTATGAATACACTGAGCTTCCCTCCACTGTGCTTTAATACAAGCCTTGGGATAACTTTTGTCTGCTGAGACAAAATTGGCTGCAAAAAAAGGGGAGACAATAGACATTTATTCCCAGGACCTTTTGGCTAAGTCATTATTCCATAAGGAACAAATTAGCACTTTCTCAAGTTTATCTGCAATCACTCTGCAAATTTTAATCTATTAATATTTATTCTATTTTATCATTCTGCAAATTTTAAGCCTTATCATGGCAGTTACAATCTCCCATGTAGACTGGTCCGGGCAGCCCCCCAGCAACTCATAAGGAATTGGATTTGTGAAAGATGTTCTTGAGAGTTTTTTCCAATCATCCATTTGAAATGCTAATTAATATGTATTTTCTATGTTTCCCTAGCACTCGTTACTGTGATACCCAAACACCTGGATACAGACAATGCATTATAATGTGTCTAGCTATTGCAAAGTCTCTCAGTAAAATCAGTTAAGTTAGGCAGCCTCTACCATATGATTCATTTCACAATTATTTTTTTATGGCTCAATATCAGAATCTCTTTATTCTCTGCAACTGACTTTCTTTGGTTTGCAGTTGACTCAAATGAAACACCTGCAACCATTATGGATGACTATTCAAAAGCAAATTTGAAGTCAAAAGCCCCACAAAGTCAGAATGTTGTGAAAATTCTTCAGAGGACTGCAATAAAAATCACTTTGGCACAAGCCTTGTTATTCTGTATTAGCTAAACCTGCAAGGTAAAATCACAGTCCACAGGACCCTCTGGCTATAGCTTGAAAATGGTTACAACCTGGAGCCAATTCTGCAGAGATATCCAACAGATGAGCCATTAAGAAAAAATCTTGTCTTCCATGAGGAGTCTTTCTACTGTCAACTCTATTTACTGTCACTGTAACATTATCCATCATGCTGTGGAAAGTGTCAGACATAAAAATAAAGTGGAAATCTATAAAACTGGTTTTGAGTCTGTAAAAAATGTCAATTTTGAGGCAATCTTTATTAATCCTATTAACTGCAGTCCTTTGGAATCCATATGACTTCATAAGACTCATAATGCAAGTAGTGTTCAGATAGAAAAAGACACAGGAATCCCATGTGTGCATATGCAGAGAAACTTAAAGAAACAACTCTGTGGCTGATATCTGGTTATGCCAGTAATGTCAAAGGTGATATGATTGAGAAGGTTATGCAGCCTTATTAGCCTGTCTCTGTGATACCATCGTGGGAAATTTTAGTGATGCAGTTTAGAGATTACTAGAAAAAAACATTGACTTGAAAAATATCCTTTCCCTCACCTATGGGCTGAGCTGTCACATTGAATGAACTGTGTCCCCCTCTATGTATCATGACACATCTCTCTTCTTGGAGGAAGAGGAGATCTAATGCAGTTAATCAAACAGCTAAAAGAGCATTGTATGAAGTGTTTGAAACATCTTTTTGAAATACTTTTCCTGCTGTCAGAATCACTGTTATCATTTTGCTTTATGGGTCACATTCAGATTTACAAATTTTTCTAAATAACTTTTCTGCATGAATAAATGGCCTAGAGGGTATAAAGTTAGACATCTTACAATTAGACTTTTTGCAGGAAAAGAGAAAAAGATGCTTTCTCTTCAGCAATGTACTGAGCTCCAAGCATTGTTAGAGACTTGTTAGATCAGAATTGCCTCAAAAACTGTTCAGATCGCTGAAGGATTTTGCCTGCAGCAGCAAACTGTGCAAAGGAGCAACTGCTCAACCACAACCACCAAAGCCCACCCCCCCAAAAATGTGCCTCCGGGATTCTGGGAATTTGGACTATGAGAGACTGAAATGATAATGGCTAATGAATCAAAACTATCAGCCATTTGGTAAGGCCAGGTTTGCAGACTCTCCCCCTGCCCAGCTGAGGGGAAGGAGGAGTTTTTGGACATGTGGTGGTAAAGCCTCTGGTCCCCATGACCCATTCTAGAAGTTACAAGGTGGGGTTTGAGACAGATAAGAAGTAAACCTTGTAGAAGCAGGATGGTGCTTTTTACCATGGCAATTATGCCAAATGTCCTCCCTTATACAACTGGCTCTGTTTGTAAAACTTCTCCTCTCACCCCCCTCTATTCCAAAAGGCCAAAGTCACAAGGGAATTTCACATTCACATTCACAGGTAGGGTATTCTTCCCTCCTGATGGGGCATAACTGGCTCAACTACACTGAGGTATCATGTCTTTGAAGATGTCACAAACCATCAAGTACCTCCAAATCTCCCCCAGATTTGTTTCTGAAGTCTTCCACCATGGACTGTGCAAGATCCACAGTGTTGCAAAAGGCAGTGTAAACCTCTCCCCTCCAGGGGAGGTTCTTGGGTGTTCCCACTGTACCTGAACATCTATTAACCCATTGAACTCTGTTTTACAGGACCCCAAGAAGCCAGGGTGAAGAGGACCGGTGAGACTCTCTGGATTCTTGTGGTGGTGACTCTTTTCCTACCTAATCTGTCTCTCTCTCACTGTCTTTTTCCCCCTCTGTTCCCTCTTTTCTATTTCTATCTCTATCTCACGTTACTGTTAAATAAAATCCGTACTATTAACTTCAGATCATATGGTCTCATTTGCACCTTAATTTGGGCAGAAGTATCTCTAATAATCAGATCCTAACATGTACAATAAACTAAAAGTCTGACTGTTAACCTTTTCTTCCCTTTGGGGAGCAATTTTTTCACATAAGTAAGCTCGTTTACTCTGGAACACTACACCTTCCAAAGGCAAGTGTCAGAAGAGAGCGGCCCAGCTGGAGCTGCACATGAGATGACAGGCTGTGAACTGTAGTTTACTAATTAATTTTGGCAATGTGACCCAATAAGTGCAAAATAACAGTAATTTGAAATATGATACATAAAATATGACTAGCAGCAATTGTTCTAACTATGAGTGTAATCTCACAGAAGGCAACAATGAGGGATGCTCAGCATCCCAGGACATGTGTGGTTAACCTCATCTAACCAGATTCAATTTCCTAAACTCTCTGTTGTGTTGCTGGGGAAGGATAAACTCATCCTGACCATTATTCTAGACCAAAATTACAATTTTTCTTATTTTTACTTACTCCTAAGGAAAAATTCCTAAGGAATCCTTCTATCTGTCTCCCTCTCACTGCACACATTACAGGAGGACAATTACACTTAGCAAAGTGCCTCTTGTAAGTACATATCATAGAGCTGTGTCTGAAAGTAAATTCTAGAACATAACCCTCAGTACATAAGAATCTACGTATAAAAATTCAAGCTAAAATATATAGCTTGACAACAATGATGTAAAAGAGGATGAAAAAGGAGGCACATATTCAGTGGCCTTTAATTTATTTTTTTTTAATAGCAAGCATATGCAAAAAATCAATATCTATTACTTTGGAAAGTTTGAAAATAATTATATCAGCACTGGGAAGAGGGCCAAGGGTTCAGGCAGGAGGTCATCACAAGCTGCCCATGGCTCTCTGGGCTGGGGCTACACTGACCCAGTCAATTCTGGGGGGAAGGGGAGGGCACTGGGGAGCCTGAGGCCCAGGAAAGGTGTTCAGTGGCCACCACATTTTGCAAGGACCAAAGCACCAGCCATGCAGACAAATTACATCAGGCTCTTTGCCCTAAGGAGCAGAGGATAAGGTGTGGCTGACTTCATTTAATGCTATAAAAGCAGCCTTTCTTGAAAAGACTGAAGTACAGCTGCATAACATGGTATCAATTCTCATCCCTTTGCCTGTGTCCGTGTCTGTCTTCACAAGCAATACAGATTTCTGTTTCAACATTGCTATATAGAGGTTCACAAACAACATGAAATAAAAAAGATAGCTCAGCCCTGCCCTTGACACAGGCATGTTTAGTTAGTACAGTGACAGAATTATCCCCTTATCCATAATATATTTCTATTAATAACATTCTTCTCTGAATAACAAACAGCTTTATTTTATTGCCATGATTTCTGACTTTCTCACAGCCTTTAAAAATATGAATGAAAATATTTCACTCCATGAGTGGTCAAAAAATATTACTACTTCAATGCAATATTGCAGGTAGTAAATCTTTTCACATAGGAAAATTAATCTCTCTGCTTGTTTAGAGAAGCACATATTGCAAAATAAAATCCCAAATGTGATAAGACAATCTCCACAACTTATACCCCTGCCTGCTTTCAACTCATAACAGAGGTACCCTGTGCAACTAAATTTGCTGGCTTCATGCAAATATGAACCACATCAAAAATGACATTGCTGGGATGCAGCACATCAGAAGAGAGGAGAGATAGTCTCTATTAAGAGCCACCCAAAAGGTAACTCCATGTGAACCCCATGAAACTCAACAAGATCACCTGCAAAACCTGGGTCAGGATAATCCCAAGCACAAAATGAAGCTGGGAAGAGAATGGATTGAAGGAAGCTCTGAGATTTGGGGTAAGTCTGGGTGGATGGGGGGTTGGACATGACCCAGCAATGTGCTCCCATGGCCCAGAAAGCCAGCTGTAGCCTGGGGAGCACCAGAGTGACCAGCAGGCTGAGGCAGATGATTCTGCCTCTCTACTCTACTCTGCTGAGACCAGCCTGGTATGTTGCATCTAGGTCTAAAGTCTTTGGGAGATACAGTGTTGGAGTGAGTCCACAGGAGGGCCATGGGGATGATCACTGGAACACCTCTCCAATGAGGACAGGCTGAGAGACCTGTGGTGCTCAGTCTGAAGAGGTGAAGGCTTCAGGGAGACCCTATAGCACCTTCCATTTCCTGAAGGGAGACCAAGAAAGAGCTGGAGAGGGGTTTTATACAAGGGTATGCCGTGATAGGACAAGGAGGAATGGCTTTGAATTGAAAGAGCGGAGGTTTATATTAGATATTAAGAAAAAGTTTTTCACTGTGAGGGTGATGAGATGTTGGAATAGAGAAATATTGATGTTCCATCCCTGGGAGTGTTCAAGGCCCGGCTGGATGGAGCTTTGAATAACCTGTTCTAGTGAAAGGTGTCCATGGAAGAGTGTGGGAACCAGATGATCTTTAGGGTTTCCTTCCTTTTTTGAAGGAAACCCTAAAGATTACCTTTAGGGTTTCCTTCAAAACAATCTATGTTTCTATGATTCTGTTCAATGGGATATGTAGGGTTGATTCTGGGCATATTAACTTCATTTGTAGTGTTTGCTCAGTACAAACTTCAGAGAAAAAGACAACTTCAATCTGGCATCAGCTCAGTTGTCCCAATGGAGCAGAGTTCAGTCTCTGAGGAGGCAAAGATTATCTAGGAAAGGACTTCCTTCAAGCTTAGTCTGAGACAGTCAAGACACATAAAGTCTCTAAGGTCTACAGTAAATGTCAACACATTCAGCTTCAAGTGCAAGGCGTAAATCTTTCCATCTGCCTTCTCTAACAGGAACACAAAATAACATGCACGCTTAAAGAAAGAGGGGGAAAAAAACTCCCATACTTTTCATCCCAAATAGATCTAACTGAAGTACTTGGATGGTCGGAGAGTGATAGAAACTTAGTGAAGACAGAGGAATTGCAGTTCAGAGTGGGGCAGTGTTCCATGGACCCATGGCCACACAACTGGCACCCTTGGACACCTTCCCACATGGCTGGAGATAACTTCTCTTCTGAGAAGCCTTTATGCATTGAGCAGACTTCCCTCCTTGAGCCAGGACAGTGCCATAAGTCAAGTCCAAAAAGTTATGCATTTGGAGGAACCAGTCATCTTGAGGCTTATGATAGTTTGATTACATCTAAAAACCCTAGAAATTATTCCCCTAATTCCCTCTGCATCATCATTGACTTGGATGATAGGACTAATTTCTTGGGCAAATGAAAGTAACAAATTCTAGGAATAACAGACATCCTCTATTGCATTCCTGGCAACCACCTCTTAGAATAGATTTGCTCTGAGTGAGCTACGCAGCTCCAAACAGAAGATAAATCTATTCAAGCAAAAGATAAATGCCAAACCAAAACCCCCCACATACATACCCCTTACCCCAATTTGCAGTACTCTAATCAAGATGTTAAGGAATGTAGGGTCCTTTATGGAAAATCAACTAACCACACTACGTAACTTTCAGGGAAGCCAGCAGGGAGAGGGTCACTGGCAGCCTCCAAGTCCCTCCTCCTGAGGGACTGTCTGTCCTGCAGCACAATCTCAGCTTTGCTATTCTGGTGTATAAGAATCAACCCAGTTCCAATATCTTACAGCAGCAGGCCAGTTAAGTTGGACCTTGTCAATTCTCCTACACCCTAGAGAAGCTGCATTTATAAAATTGCATATTATGCAATTTAAATAAAGGTAATAGTTTTTGTTAAGTTGAAACTTACCATCAGGAAATGAAATAAAAACGAAGAAAGCAAAGCAAGCTATCACAGAAAGTATTTCACTGCCATGGACAGTTGAGCTTAAGGCTATGCATGCTTTCACTGGTTTGGTATGTTCTGAAGAAAGAAGAAGCTTACAAATTTGTTCTGCTCACCGTGTGACCCACTGCAGGATGCTCCACCCTGCCTCGCAGCAATGCAGAGCAGCCTTGCCAAGCTTGATGCTCAGATTCCCTCACTCTGTCCTCCAGGACTGAGAGTACAACACAGCTACCCCATTTCTCTCCTCCTTAGGCTGTCAATACCATGATAAAGTGTTTTGGAGCTTTGTTTCTTCTTTTCTCCTTTTTCTCTGTATTCTGACTTACTTCTCGTTCTTTCTTGGCTGATATATAAATCCAGTCTTAATGGCTTATTCCTCAAGCACAAGGGACTACCAGATAAAATAACACAAACTAAGGAACATAGGCCAAGTATCTGTCCCAAGACTCAAACTGAGTTTCACCATGGACTGCTAAGGGACTCAGACTTGGCCCTGTTTCTGCAGATATGGAAAACATTAGTGACGCTTTAGAACATGCCTGGGGCTCTGTCCTAACCTCTGCTGAGCTGCTATAGGAAAAATGTAGGAAACATAAATTTCTCCTCTGCTTGTGAGCCAGGGCAGGAGACTTGTCCAATGAACCATCTGTGACAGCACATTTTAGAGGTGCTGCACAGTTTTCAAGCCATCACAAGATGCGAGTGCAGTTCCCAGCAGCAAGGAGGGAAAGGTGGGCTCCCCGTGGAGGAGCACAGCACATCCCATAAGGGTTTGTTGCCAGGACACACAGTCTTGGTGGAAGCTGACAGTATCTCTAAGGCACAGGAAACATTAGGCTGTGCCCTTGTTCTGTTCTGCTGTGCGAGTTAAGTAGTTGTGCTCGTACTTCATAATTAACAGAGGTGATTTATTCTCTCATTATCATCACAGAAGCTTAATCAAGAGAAAGGTCATAAAGAAAGTCCAAACTTCTGCACATTGTAAAAGTCTGGCTTGGGTATTCAGCTACACACTAGGAGTAGAGTTTCTTTTCTCCATAATCTGGGTAGAAATGGACTGTTCAAAATAAACAGTCTAATGAACTTCATTTGTACTTTGGTTTCTCTCACAAAAACTGGGAACATATGTCAAACCAAGAAACCACAGAAGTGTCCAGGATCATGGTTTGCATTT